TAGTTAGGGAATAAGAAGCCCAGGATTAGTTCCATTTTGGTGGATGGAGGATGTAAGGTATATTTATAGCTGATTAAGTCATCTGGACCAGCAGACGGGATCCTCAGTTCAAGAAGGTTGTCTCAGCTGATCAAACGCAGCACAGGCTGCATGCTGATTTCCTACACATAGTTCTTGACTCACTAAAATGAACATTAATCAGCTTCTGCATGTGCCATGCAATGTTTCAATTCTTAAGCCGATATAATTGGACAGTGTGACTTAGCAAGACTCAGGGTTGTGGCCAGGCCGAAGTCACAGCATGAGAAAGTCTTTAAAAGTCGTGAGAAAGCCATATTGAGGTGAATAACATCTTTGCAGCCTCTAGCAAAAACACATCAACACTTTCACAGTGTTCTTCTTCTAAGAAATACTAGTACCAAGAAACTTAAGAAGGCATCAATTTGTGCCTGAGGTGGACGATCATATAATCATATTAGTTGTAAACAACTCATGGTGTAGCTTGTCTCGAAAGGATAGTTCAACCCAAAAATGAAAATTCTGCCAGCATTGTGGTTGTTTTGTCTATACAGTGAAACCCAATCATTTTGGGCAAAAACGGTTAAACATTCTTGAAATTACCTATTTTTGTGTTCCTCAGAAAAAATAAAGTTATACAAATTTGGAGCAACATGAAGGTGATTTGACAACATTTGGGTTTGAACTATCCCTTGAGGATAAATTCTATTGTTATGGTGTACTTTGCATACTTGTGTTAATGACATTTAGTTGACCTGTTAATGGGACACACTCATATGTTTGAAGCAATCAGAGTGTCATGTTGGGTGAAGCTCACAGTCACTGCCATTAACAATGCATAATAAAGGATAGTAGACTTGGCATTTCCTGGGGATCGTTTTGCTGTCCCATGTTTTCATACACAAATGAGCTGATTTTAACACACACATGCACACTTTGTATGTGGGTGTGAAAGCAGCTGTGGTGTTGGCAGAGTTATACAGCTCGTCTTCTCATATTTGAGATCCCTTGTTTTATTCTAGGTCTTCTCGTATTGTGGCTGCACAATTATATAATTGTTGATCATAATTGTTGATTATTCCCTTGAAATTATTAATTGCGATTATTACTATTTACACTGATGTTCAGTGTTGGGGAAAGTTACTGTTAAAAGTAATGCATTACAATATTGCGTTACTCCCTAAAAAAAGTAACTAATTACATTACTTAGTTACTTTTTATGGAAGGTAATGCGTTGCGTTACTTTTTAAATCATGGCAGGGCTTGCTTGTTTGTTTTTAATATAAAAAAAATATAAAAAACTTACTTACAGGCTGTGAGTCAGAAACGCCAAACTGTCCATGCAAAGTTGGAACTGCCCCACTTTATAGAAACAGCTTTGTGCACAGACGCATTGTAGGCTACTCTGCAGGATCAGGAAACAGTCCTCCGTAAAATGCGCTGCACACATCTGAATATTTGGGTTGAACTGTTCTGGAACAGTGTTGTAAATACAACTTAACCACTGATTTCTAGTTGTGTCCTCTTTTGGAAGGCCAAACAAAGTTATTTCGCTTTCACAACGAAACACACAGCATCACACACGGCGGCCTTGCGGCAACCACATGTGACGACCCCGGGCTGGACTCCGCTTCGTAAAAAAGTAAATTCACTGTCTGTACAGTAGAACGCAGAAGAAGAACATTCAACACATTTAAGCAATACAAAAAGAAGCACAAATGTGTATCTAGAGTAATTTTTGCTTATTAGTATGTTTGAATTGGATCATCGAAGGTCAGCAGAAAAGACATTGGTTAATAAAATGGGATTAAATACATAAAGGATATTTGTTATCTAACATTTAATTATTGGAGGTTTGCGTCATATTCTGAGTTGCATTTCACTGTTTTTATTAATTTTGAGGAATGCTGAATCTGTTTTTTGTGAGTGAGATGAATTAATGCATGTTCACATTTATTCTAGAACTACAGTAACATCTTACTCCTGATTTTCTCTCAACATGCGGACGGCAGAGCTATCAATCAATAAATGGGGAAAAAAGTAACTGGAGTTACTTATTTGAAAAAGTAACTCCAATATTTTCTTGTAAATTAAAAAGTAATGCGTTACTTTACTAGTTACTTGAAAAAAAGTAATCTGATTATGTAACTTGCGTTACTTGTAATGCGTAGCCCCTAACATTGCTGATGTTTTAAATAGTTTTATACAATTGTTTGAAGCAACTGAATGCCATATTTTATATGAAAATAAACAAGCTAAAAACACACTTTCAGAAAATCTTTTATTGCTTTTCTATAGCATCCTATAGCTTTTCTATAGCATCACGCCTCAAATATATTGGTTTGGTTTCTTCTTTAAATAAAAAAAGTAAAAATATGCATGGTATTACAATGTTATACTAAAACTAAAATTAAAATAATGGGAAAACCCCTTAAGATAACCTGTAGAAAGAAATTAAAAAACACATCTTAAGCATGCAGAATAATGCAAGTGGTCCTTTTCTTTGTAATTGTGCCTTTGAACTATTACGATTGAATTATTTGTTTTGAACAATGTGACAGACAATGTGGAGTATTTTCTCCACCAAGACAACTTCAGGGGTTATCAGGGAGGTTGTTACCAATCCTCTTATAAAACAGAGCTGTCTCAAGATGGTAATGGTACAAACTACAGTACATGGTTAAGAAAAAAAAAACATTAGCCAGTAGCACTATCCACCCCCTGCTGCTTCTGTGCTCACTCCGGCTTCCTCCAGCCGAGCCAGCTGACAGGTGTCCGTGCCTCAGTAGTTAACCAGTGCCGTGTGAACTGCTGTTTCTGTGTTGGCCGCTCTCGTGAGTGAACTCAATTGAGCTGAACAAACTGACGCTCCGGCAGCAAACCCATTTCTCTTCTGGGCTGCTGTTTTATTCATTGCTGACACTATGCTGCATGAAGTTCAATGCATATTGGGGGTACTTTACATATCCATTTCCATTTTGTGAATGCAAAGTAAACCTTAAGATAAAATCAACCTCTTCCTGACCCACATATCAAGCATTAACAAATGAATCTAATGCTTCATTTCAGCCTAGGATGGAAGCACAATTATGGACAATTCTCAATTCTTCGTCCTCATTATTTCAATTCCCCATCTGAATCGATCTGTGCCTCACCTACATTTGCCTCATGTCAGTCATCATAACGTGTATTAACCTCCACCTGAATGCTCTGAGCATGCTCACAGCACACCGCTCTCTGGCTCATAAACAAGCTTGGCAAAAAATGAACATCTTTTCCTCAAATTAATTGCAGCGGTGAATTGTGCATTATGCTAGCACATAAAACGTCAGGAAACGTGGGCGCTAGATAAAGGTCTGCAAAATAGAATGTCAATGCAAAAATGCTTGAAGGAAACTAACCTTAACAGGTCCAGGGCTTTTTTCTGCTTCCCCATCCAATAATAACAACAACAACAATAATAATAATGATGATAATAATAATAACAATAATAACAATTTAAACAGTTTTGTTATCATTAAAACTATAACATTTATTTTGTTCAAATAAAATTTAAATATTAGATGAAAAACTTAAACTCAAATCTGAAATAAAAATAAAGCTAAATAGAACAAAAATGGCAAAAGCAATAACAAAAGTACTACAATTTTAAATAAAATTAATTATATCAAATAAATTGAATAAATAATATAATATATATAAATAATACTAAATAGCTCATAATAATACTGTATAATTTAAATTATGATTTAGTAATATTATTAATTTATTATTATTATTATTATTATTATTATTATATTTTTTACACCCGTTTTTTTAAAAAAAAAATTTTAATGTGATTCATTTAATGCCTTGCACATTGCCAAAGTTCCATAGTGTCTTGTTTGTAATTTTTAGGTTTCAGAAGGGTACCCTTGATATGTGGAATTATTGTCAAAGCCTTTCAGACACAAACTGCAGGGACTCATTTGGAATAGAGATTTTTCTAAAGAAAAAAATCCCTGTGTAGTATTGTTTGAGGACTTTCTGAGAGGTTTCTGTATATGTTAACACTTGTGGGTCTCTCTCTCTCTCGGCAGACACGGCGCAGGAGCAGGGCCTGGATCTGGAGCCACCTGTCCGGATGGAAGAGGAGAAGGAGGTGATGGAGGAGATTGAGGTGGAGGAGAGAGTGGTGGAGATAGAACATCCTCTGCCATGCCTCAGTGAATCTGACACACAAGGCATTATCAAGGGCAGAGATCTATTCGGATATGTTGGCATTGAGGCAGTGTTGGACCAGATGAGACGCAAAACCATGAAGGCTGGCTTTGAATTTAATATCATGGTGGTTGGTAAGTGGAACATTGGTTTTGTTATCATTAGCTAAAACTATTAAAATAGTTTTTTTAATTGAAATAAAATAAAATGTAAATATTAGATGAAAAACTAAAATTAGTTAAAAACTCAAATCTGAAATAAAAATAAAGCTAAATAGAAATATAAAAAACAACAAAAATGACAAGCACACAACAAAAGTAATATTAAATTTAAACTAAAATGAAATATAAAAATGAAATATAAAAATAAAAATAAAAGCTAATTCAAAATATGAATAAATAATATAATAATATATAAATAATACTAAATAACACAATATCATAATAAATACTATATCATTTAAATCACGATTTAATAATATAATATTATTATATATTTGTACACACATTTTTTCCTATCACATTTAAATGTGATTCATTTAATGCCTTGCACATTGCCAAAGTTCTATAGTGTTTTGTTTGTAATTTTTAGGTTTCAGAAGGGTCCTCTTGATATGCGGAATTATATTGCCAAAGCCTTTCTGATGCAAACTTGCAAGGACTCATTTGGGACAGAGATTTTTCTATAGAAAAACCTCCATGTGTAGTATAATATTCGTTTAAGGGCTTCCTGAGAGGATTCTGTATGTTAACTGATGGGTCTCTCTTTCTCTCTCTCGGCAGACACAGCACAGGAGCAGGGCCTGGATCTGGAGCCACCTGTCCGGATGGAGGAGGAGATGGAGGTGATGGAGGAGAGGGAGGTGGAGGAGAGAGTGGTGGAGATAGAACATCCTCTGCCATGCCTCAGTGAATCTGACACACAAGGCATTATCAAGGGCAGAGATCTATTCGGATATGTTGGCATTGAGGCAGTGTTGGACCAGATGAGACGCAAAACCATGAAGGCTGGCTTTGAATTTAACATCATGGTGGTTGGTAAGTGGAACATTGCTCTGACTTCAATTGGATTGTGAATTTTTTTTTTATTTTTAAGCAGGATATGCCCAGTTTGTACTTATACAGAAAAAGAAAAATACAAAGCCCTCAAAGCTGGTTCAGAATAGTACACTGAAACTTTGAATTTCAAACGACATGCATAACGGCTCGGTCTAAATGACTTCACACCTCTTGTTTTCTCTATGCTCACAGTGTGAACTTTAACTTGTTTTGTCTCATGAGCTTAGTTGAGATGGGGACGATTTAGCCAAGACTGCAGAGATGAAAATAGAACAGACTTGAGGTGTCAAATCAGGTAAAAAGTCACAAGCATCAATAGTTGAGTATGGTTGTCTATGAAGGGGGCAGGAAGACTGTTCAGCCTCTAACAGGAAACACAGACAGGTGAAGAGGAAATGGTGCCATTGCCTGTTAAGGGAAATGTTTAAAACTCAGCTCTTTTCAGAGACTGTTATTCACTTGGTAAAATAGTGTATTTGTTGAAGGTGGCTTCTGTCTGTCATGAAAGAGCTTGTTATAAGCAAACATTACATAGGTAGTAAATAGGATGGGTGATATAGTCAAATTATATTGCGATATTTTTCAATATATAGCTCAATATATATAATATGTATGTGTTGGCTCTGACATGAGACCATCATTTAACCAAATATAATTGTATTTCTAAGCAACAAAATCACATTACATGATATGTTTGCATGGATGCATTAAATTGATCAAACTGACAAATACTTTTAGTATTATTACAACGATTTCTATTTCAAACAAAAGCTGTTCTTTTTATTCATGAAAAAATAAATCATGATTTCCACAAAAATAATACTGATATACAGAAATCTTAAAATGTCATTAAATGTTTTATAAGATAATGACATATGTATTGTTTCTTAAATCAGCACATTGATTTCTGAAGGATCATGTGACACTGAAGACAGGAGTAATGACAGCTGGAAATTCAGCTCTGTCAATAAAATAGAAAAGAGTTTTTTAAAAATGAATTTCATGAGAAGACTGTATTTTATTATAAATCTTAAGTCACAGATTTTATGCCAGGTTACCTGCTAGGGCTGTACTCTGCCGGCTCAGTAGAGCATGCTGGTATTAACTGTCCTGGGCAGTTACTGGACATCTGCCTGATTCAAACTGGCCACCTTATTCAAGCCTGACCAATCAGAATGCTGGAACCTCCCAAACCCCCCTGTGCATCTAAGCGAGAGAGAGGGTAAGCATGCAGGGAGGAGGAGGAGCAGGAGGGGGGTGTTGGCTGAGTGTGGGCCTTACCTAATTAAATGGCAAGGGCTATTGTTGTGTTGTCTGTGGGCTGGGAGGCAGGGCCAGGCTGGAGCCGAATGTGGCTCAGTGTTCCCCAACTGGGCCAGCCAAGGGGATTTATGATGGCCGCAGCATCACAAATTCAAGGCCATCCAGCTCTCCAGTGAGAGCCATTCTTCTTTTCCACTTTTTTCATTCCTCTGTTTTTTTAAACAGAGCTTCCAGGTTTTCCTCCCTTGCTTGTGCTTTCTTTCCCCTTGGTGGCTCCTCCATAGTGGTTATAGAAAGGACATTTTGCCAAATCCTTCAAAGGCTGCGAGTCTCACAGAGAAACACAGTATCAGCCGCTGTTCCGCAGCGATGTCAGCAAAACAAATTAAAGCTGAAGTGGGTAGTTTCTGCACCACTGATTTCACCACTAGCTTTCCAAACTGTTCTTCCAAAACAGTCCTGCAACCCCGTTACCATCTGTCATTGTTTGGACACTCATGTAGACCCAGCCCAGCAGCATTTGGCCTTCTTTGAGCAATGGAAATTCCCACAGCAGCCTCATTTCCATCTGAAAGGACAAGTTTGGTGATTTTAAACCAGCTTTGTATTGTTACAATGTCAGGAGTACATGTAAATATGTGTACTCTTTCCCTATGCCACCTGTTTTGTCAGCAAAACACAGTATCTGGTGAACTTTTGACAGCTTAACTGTTAAACTATCGATCGTACTTCTGCAATTCTGTATTCCCACACACAGAGAGTTGGATCGAGCCCAGAGCATTATGGTTGTTAAAGTTTCCCTAGCTTTTTTGGCAAAAGGGAACACCACATTTTTTTGTATTCATGTAGCATTATTCTTTTTGCCTTCCTTCTGCATAGACAGCTGAGTTTTATTAAACACCTGTTTTTATTGTAGACATTTTTAACTTTTTAATAAAATGGCTGATTCTTTTCTTTTCTAAGGCTAATTTCTCATTTTACATGTCCTACATTATTAAAAAATATTTCCACACATTTGTCCAAATAACAGCTTGATTGGAAATGATGCACAATAAAAAATACTTTTAAAATATTTTAAAAGCAGTATCATATTCACACAATAAATACTGCATTGGTTTGTTTGATTGTGTTTTTTTTACACTTATGACTTATGAATCATGACTTAGTATATGAAACCATGATCTGCACTCACAAAAATAGACTTCTTTAAGTGTTTTATTTTACATTAATCACCAATAGGACAAAACACAAACATTTCGGCTCAAAGCCTTTTTCTTCTGTCCTATTGGTGATTAATGTAAAATTAAACACTAAAAGAAGACTTTTTTGTGAGTGTGGATCATGGTTTCAGATACTAAGTAATAGATTGACGCACCAAAATAAAATATTATATGACAAAAGAGTGCGGTGCAAACAGCTTTATGAATTATGAATTAAAGGAGACATATTATGCCTCTTTTTACAATATGTAATATAAGTCTCTGGTGTCCCCAGAATGTGTCTGTGGAGTTTCAGCTCAAAATACCCCACAGATAATTTTTTATATCATTTTGAAAATGCCTATTTTGAGTGGAAGCAGAAACACGCTGTTTTTCGGGCCTGGCTCTTTAAATGCAAATGAGCTGCTGCTCCCCGCCCCCTTTTCCAGCTTGGACCTGCTAAAAACATCTGTTACGGTTCTGATTATCATGTTTATCGCGCTGAAATCATGCGGTTTAAACCATATGCATTTAAACTTCTGATATACGTTTTCTGAGTGCACACATCCGAAGCACACGGACAGAAAGCGGCCACCACACAGCATGTGAGTACTAAACTAAGTTCTAAACTGCTGGGAAATAAATTGAAGGTTTATTTTAGATCAGTGGTCGCCAACCTGTCATTACATTTATGCATTACATTTATGGGGTTATATTAATGTATCACTGAAGGGAACTGTCTTGAGAAAAGTTTCGATGGCAATGGCATTTTCTTCTCCTCTGTATAAAGCGCCAACTCTGCTTTGTTTACAGTGGTAAACAAGGAAACGCTATATTGCGGTCGGTTCATAAGCAGAATTGGGCTACTTTAACACTGTTGCCCGGATTGTTGTTCATGTCCGCGGGTTGAAGCGACCCCAATAGCTTGATATTTAGTCCCTGGAATGTGAATTTTACTGGAAGATCCCTGCCGAAAAACGTGTATTTTATCCCTGGAATGCGATTTTTTACAGGGGAACCCCCCTCGAAATGCGATTGGACTAGTTTTATTTCGAAAACCTGGCAACCCTGTTCATAGGCGCCACCTGCTGTCAGAGAGTGCGTCTCATTCAGACCTGCTGTTTTTGTTTCGTGCAGATGTTTTATGTAGCAAATAAATAAATAACACCTAAAGTCAGACAATTCTGTTTTTGTTTTAAATCCTGGAATTAATCTAATTTAAATCAAAAACACCTGCCCGTGCAGATCGTGATTAAAATGCAGTGGTTGCCTCTAATTTCAAATGGCTAGATATTTTTGTTTAAAGCCAGTTTGTTTGTTATAAAGCAAATAGCCAATAAATAAATTTGCTTAAAAATCAGTATCAGAATCCAATTTGCTAGTTAAAAAAAAAGAAAGAAAAGAAAATCTGAATTCTGAATCAGCTATGATCAGCGCATCACTAATTAAAATACTAAGTAAAAGGCCTCAAATTTGAAGTACAATCTGGGATGTCTTTTTCTATCAATTCTTCAATAGGTAGATCTTGTCTTTCATAAAGGCCGAGGTCAGGGATCTTGGGCCTAAAAAGGTTGGTGACCAATGTTTTAGATCTAAATAGTGTTTTGTGCTCGTCTGTGCAGACAAAGGCAGAACAGTTAGCATGTTTTGCTCAAACTTTCGCCATGGCATTAGAGCTGGTACACCGTTGTCGCTTGTGAAAACACAATAACGGCGCCGTGGGTGGAAACTTACAGATTAAGGGGCGGTAATCTTATAATGAGATCCTTTTGCTACGATACCAAGGGAGCGAAATCAGACACACTCGTTTTCTCAGACACTTGCAGAAAAAGGCTTCCCAAAACAAAGTTACTGGGTTAATCTTTTTCACGTTTCCTTGGTTGGTAGATTATAGCACTTAAAACCTGGAAAAGTCAGATTTTCATTGTTTTAAGATTGTCTTAAGCATGAAAACAAATGTAATGAACTGAGATTGAAAGTCTAGCTTTGGGCCAAGCAAAACAATCAAAACAACAGTTTTAATGTGATGTTTATCTAACAAAAAGAAACGAATAAAAATCTTTCTCTTTTTTTTCATTTTTTTTTTTTCAAATAAACTCCTGATAAAAGTAGCCAAGGTTGAAGAAACACTGACTGAAACACTCAATAAATACACTTCATAAATATGATCCACTCAAAGTGTGTGGGAATGATATTAGTTGGAGATATGACCATAACAGTCTTCACCTGTTCTCATTTTGGCCATATGGATTCTTCCACTCTATCCAGAGCAGCTTGAAACCTGTTTGATAGAGAGCAGATCAAAGGCATGTTAAAGCAGATCAGTATTGTGATGAATTCTGCAGAGCAAAAACGGCTCTGGTCCAGTGCTAACTCCCCCAAAAGCTGGCTCTGTAACATTTGGCCTGTGCGAGTTTCTTCCTTTCCTCAGTGAACTGTGGAGGTTACAGTGTTTGTATTGTAGTAGGTATGGTGGTGCACTCCATATGCATCAAAGGTGAACCGTTCTCTCCCTTTCCCGGTAGAGACAGGTGTGGAAATGCTGGTAGTAAAAAAGGGAGCAAGAAAGATCTGTTTGACTCATTTTCGATGCACTGTAGAGCTATTGACAGATCATTTGTTTTCTCCCTTTCAAAGGACTTTAATTTTGAACATGGAATGTTTGAATTTGAAACCGTTTATGGTTTATGTACGTCTTCTGTTTGTGTATTTTGCGGTTTCCATGGCAGCGCATTGTAGAGCACAAGGGCAGGGGTTCTGACAAGGGTGTGTTTGGGAACGCTAGCATATATTAGCTAGCATGACATGACGATGAATGCAAACTTGACAAGATACAGGAAGAGGAGGAATTGTGCGAAAGCAAGATATACAGAACAGGATGAAATTGCAGGAACGGAGGAAACTCTACAGGATGAGTTTGGTGGGCTATGCTGGCTTGTCCACATTTTCCTGCCCTGGGGTGCTCTTATCCGAGAGTCGCACACACATATGGTAGCACTTGGAGTCTGTTGGTCTGTGTAGTTTGTCCTCGGTTGTAAAGGTCAGGACCTTTTTGTAGCCTCAGGACTTAAACTACTGCGAGTCTCCCAGTTTCCCATAAGTCAAGTAGCAGTCTGCTCCCAAATACGAGCTTAGCATATTGTGACATTTTTAATGCAGTCAATACATTCAGCTTTGTTGTCGCCCTCAAGTCAAGGGGGCTTTGTAGATACTGTGTTCAAAGAAAAGCTTTGCAAACTGTGCTTCAAAGTGTCTCAGAGGAGATGTGTTTTCATCATTTGAAATGCTTTTGAGAAATCAACTGTTAAACACATATGACACTGGTGAAATTACAACCTGCATTTGTTGGAGTTTCATGTGGTTGTAGTAAATGACAAGCTGTTACAACGCAGCGTTTCTGGGCGAGTGTGTCAATGCATGACTCAAACAAGCACTTGACTGGGTCTAGCCTTTATTCTTTTTACATTATCTTGGCACGGGGGTCCTTTATGAGATCATCAGTTGATGTTCGGTTGCCTTAATGGCTCTCGCCCATACATTATTCTTCCACTGATGCAGATGTAACACTGTACTAAAATACTCTAAATAGTGTCACTACTGAATATACAGCTTGCAACAAAGCACGACCAAAGCAGTCCTTTTGCAAAATAAAATAGTCTTATAAGCCGGATCTTTTTAGCAAATCAAAAATATACAGCATGACAGGTGAAGTCTGAATCATGAATGAATGAGTCGGTTCTTGTTAGTGAATCAAAAATATGCAGCGCAATCAACGTAGTCTGATTTCCAAACGTATATGACTCATATGAAATGGTTTTTTTTTTGGTTTTAAACACTTGCAGCCTAAATCAGTGTAGTTGCTGACTAGCTGTTCAACAAAGAAAATTCAAAATATAAAAATGTATTCATTAATTGGCAATGGATTTGCATTTTTTTTTTTTTTAATATTTCTTCCTAAATGGTATAGAATAAGAATCATGTAGGGGAATCCAAACCTCTTGTTCCCATCCCCATAGAACAGGTACGGTATGTGTGACTACACTGAAATCTTCAGGAAGCCCTGCTTTGCTCAGGCATTGTCTGAACTGGTAAATCAAATAGGCCCAGGAGGACACACAACGTGGGTTGTCAGTTCCTCATAAATTTGATGTCAACTGCCTCCCATGGTAAGAGGCCATGGCGTAAATCCATCAAAGCCTCTGTTGAGGTGGGCAATGATGAAGGGGCCAGATCTCCCCGGCTCAGTCGTCTATCTCTGTCAAATCGTTTCATCCATTGACAGCTTCCCGAGGCGGCTAGGCCTCTCAACAGGTAGAAGCGGAGCGGCGAGACCGTTTAGCACATTCCCCACCCCTGCCCTGCGAACGGGAAGCTGACCGGTGGGCCCGAGGGGCCCTCTGAGCGAAACCGAACACACACTGCCCATCATCAGCACTCAATACTAAGCGGCTCACATTAACAGAGCACATGTCCTTTGAAGCAATGACGGTGGCCCCATAGATTTAGCCTTATTTGTGTGAATTGAGATGGCCTTGATAAGGCTCCCTCTCTGGTAATAGCTTCCTCCCTCTGATCTGATCTCCGTGAGGACTAGTGTGAAAGAGTCATTAAGTGGAAAAGCTCCCCAAAGCTCCCGGCGGCGTGGTGTTGTCAGTGTGTTTGGACACCCACCAGATAAGACGCTAAAGTACTTTGCCTTGGCTTGACCAGGTCCTATTACATCACCGATGATTTGCAGTATCAAGGGCTTATGTAAACCCTGGAGGCCTGTGCTGCCTGGTCATGTGATACTTTATGACCTCAATTTTATGTGTGCCATCTTATCTGTGTGCAGTAATAAAGTTTTATCCCCCCTGCTAATGCTAAGCAAAGGTCGTCCTGCAAATAAACGTGCCCGGGGTCTGCTACATATGGAGTTAATTGTGCTTTACTGCAGTTTACAAACAAAAGTCATTAAGTCTGTTCTCGTTCTCATTGACAGGTCAGAGCGGTCTGGGGAAGTCAACGCTCGTAAACACACTCTTCAAGTCCAAGGTCAGCAGGAAGTCCTGCACTCCTAATTATGAGGAGAAGATCTCGAAAACTGTCCACCTGCAATCAGTCAGCCACGGTGAGTTTTGAACGCTTCTTTCTTCACAGCTACAACATCACACACCCGTCACACCCAAGAGGTCAAGGTTTTGTTAGTTTGCACAGCCCTGTTTGCCCCTGCTGGTAATATCATAACTGCAGCATTTGGACCCAGTAAACGTCTTTGAGCGTTGATGGTCTTTCAAAATTGTGCTTTTGTCCTGAACAGCCACGAAAGGGCATTTTGTCAATAGATGTGTCCCAAATTATGAACGTCCTCTATACACAGTGCTATCTAGTGTATTCATTTCATGGTATGTTCAAGTCCTCCTGTGAAGTTCATGTTTATGAAGAATTAGGAAGTCGTAATTATTATGTCTTTTGCATTCAGGTTACTTTGCTCGAAGCAAGATGGCAAGTAAAAAATATAGAAAAACACTCTTTTTTTTTTTTTCCTTTATGTTTTTGATCGCACTTTATTGGACCCTCCTGGTCCAATTATCACTATTAACTGACCATTAACTGTTAACTATGACTTTTGCCTCAATAAACTCCTAATTACTGCTAATTAATAGTTAATTTCTGCTCATTATTTGTTAAGTTTAGGTATTGGGTAGAATTAAGAATTTAGAATATGGTCATGGAGAATATGTGCTTTTTAAGTACTAATAAACAGCCAATATGCTAGGAATATGCATGCTAATAATCAACTAGATAATAGTGAGAATGGGTCCCATAATGAACTGTTACCATGATTTTTTTTAGTTTATGAAGGTGCTGTAAACTGGTGCTATTATATATTTTATCGTAATTGTATGATGCAATCATATTTTGTATGTGCAACTAAGCTAATTCTATTGTAAATGTAAATATAATTATATTGTAAATAATATATGTATATATATTGTGTGTGTGTGTGACCCTGGAGCACAAAACCAGTCTTAAGTCGCTGGGGTATATTTGTAGCAATAGCCAAAAATACATTGTATGGGTCAAAATGATTGATTTTTCTTTTATGCCAAAAATCATTAGGATATTAAGTAAAGATCATGTTCCATGAAGACATTTTGTAAATTTCCTACTGTAAATATATTAAAACTTAATTTTTGATTAGTAATATGCATTGCTAAGAACTTCATTTGGACAACTTTAAAGGCTATTTTCTCAATATTTAGATTTTTTTTGCACCCTCAGATTCCATTTTTCATTGTCCTATCCTAACAAACCACACATCAATGGAAAGCTTATTTATTCAGCTTTCAGATGATGTATAAATCTCAATTTTGAAAAATCGACCCTTATGACTGGTTTTGTGGTCCAGGGTCACAAATATATGCACCATGTGAAGAGAAGTAGGATAGTAGGGGGGTCTCAATTTAAAGGATGCTTCGAACCAATCCGATGTGTTACCATTTAGCCCCTCCTCTTCAGCTACATAGGGAAATAATGCAACTGATGAGTGCATAAAATGCCCACACTTATTTTGTAGTTGAGGAAGTGTACTCTTAGTGCACTATGCCTCACTGCAATTAATTGTTTTGTTTTTTTTTGGACTCACACTATTTTATGGTATTGGTACAAAACACATGGTGTTTCACATTAATAAGATGACGTGTTACAGAGTGTTGCCCTGAGTGATTTCTGAAAGGATGAAGGGATTAAAGAAGAATGACATTTAGACAGGACAAACTGGAGGCAGCTCTGTGTTTTGTAGCGTTTGACTTGGAAAAGGGCCAGAGTGATCGGAGCATGTGCTCTGAAAGGAAAAATAAATTAAAAAGCCTGCAAAGGGGACAGATTAGGAGAGATCAATCGCACAACTTCAACTGTTGAGATCGGGCCACAGCTGTCATTATGAGCTCTCTTTCAGAGAGAATGACAGAGGAAGAATGCGCAGGGGATGCATTTTATCCCACTGGTCAGGAGATGACTGCTGCTCTAATGGAGGCCACCACTTATACACGGCGTCTGGCTCAGCTGAGTGAATAAGAATAGGCTGATTGAGCAATGTGCCGTCTCTGTCTTGCATACTTCCTCAAGAGTAACAATCAATAGAGGCTTGGGTTCTTCTATCCAAACAGGAAGGTGTGTTTTTGTGGAGAGTGTGTTTGTGTGTTTTTCGTTTAGGCTTGTTTTGGCAATGAAGCAAAGCTTGTTTCGAAGGTTTCTGGGGGATAACTTCTGTTACTTTGCTTTTGATGTCTATTAATTGTTTTACTGATTTTCTTGACTCTACTTGAGGATGCTATACTTGATTTTCTTCCTAAGAGAAAAATGTCATGATAAAATTGGCAATACATTTTGGCACATATTGATAACCTGGTAATTGTTTTAATATTATGGTTTCATCTCAATATATTTGGTCAACATAAAAAATAAAACTCTCAAATTTAAATGAATTGTTTACATTTTAAATTTAAATACAGTGCATTTAGGCATCATAACATTATAATGTACAGTATGATTTGGATTTGGATGAAATGGATTTTCATTTTGAGATTAGCTAAAGATTTAGCTACATTTAACACTGTTATTAAAGTAAGCATGGAAATGTCATAACTGGATGATCTGGTGGAAATGACAGATTTCTCTCTCCAGCCCTGCAAGCTCATGTTCATCTGCCTTTTGAATGCAATGCACACTAGAAAATACATCACAATACAGAAGAAAAGCTCAGACGTTCCATCAATTTCATCGCAGCTTTAATTTTTTTTGTGTGTTTTTAAAGATAAACTATGAATGAGCATTAAGCCCAAGGTATACTTGAGTTTTGACATGAACGATAAGCATACAGCATAGCCTTTTGAAGTATACTCCATTTGATTGTATGTGCGAACAATATAAAAATATGGGAAATGATCATGTACAATACAAACAGATCAGTTACATAGACCATCTCCAAGACCATATTAGCAGCTATGCAAGGGTCCTGCTGCTCCATTTTGTACTGAGCAGAGGAAGCTGAACTGTATATCACGCAGAGAGATGCACGTACTTTCAAACATCCCGCATACGGCAATGAGAAAGCAATGAATCTCCATTTTGCTTTTGGCAGCGCCACCATGCTTCGTTGGAAAGAGGCGTGAAAGGCAGATGCCGTATCCAACTTCACTAGTCCTTTAAATGAATGTATTGTTTGAGTGTGTGTGTGTGTGTGTGTGTGGGTGTGTGTTTGCTTGCCCTCAGTAGTTATTGTAGTCGCACCCAGCTATCCATCTTCATTTCTCATTTTGAGACTGTCTGACAAGGGTCTAACAAACATAAAATTTGATAGTGGTCCTCTGTCGCTTGTATTCAGAAATAGCTCGGTAGGACAAGTAAAGAAATTGTGCTCCCTTTCGTTGGGTTGCAAAGGCCAGTAGGACTACGAACTGTAGACTAACTAATAAAATGTATACGCTATTGCACTGTTATCTAATTAGCCCTGCTATTTTCATCTGGGTCAGAAGTTTTTGGAGTTACCCATGTTGTCTAGTTTAACCACAAATCTGCCCTTAAATAGAATGACCTACAAGTTAGCATCTCAGATGTAGAGAGAAAATAATCTAATGATTCTGTCACAGGATGTTGCGAGACGCTGGATAAGCATGCCTCCGCTTGTAGTTTTAAGTGTCAGTCAATTGCTGTGCAAAGGCCTTTGCTGGGCTGGGTCATTAGCGTAGCTTGCTATGTTAATTGCCATGGATCCTACTTGACAGCAGAAATGTATGAAGACCGCTGAACTTTAACCCTAGTCTGGATATGGGCGCAGAAATATCCAATTACAAAACCCTACGGAGAATTAGCACCAAAGCTATGGTGTTAATTGTTACTACAGCCATGTGCAGGTTTCGTAGCCGCTATGCTAAACCTGTGCCTACTGGTTTTAAAATGAGTCATTTGATTTTGCTTTCAGGTAAAGTTTTAGACCTAGATCTGCTTGTTGATCTCTCTTCCGTTTCTGACTTCCCCTTTACAGGTTTAGATATGTAAATGTTAGCCTGTGTCGCACTCTTGCAACAGCTTTACTTCTTTGCAGCTTTCACTTCAGTTAGCCAAAGGTCAAATTGTAGAAATCTGTTTTTAGATTCGAAACTGTAATTTCCTGTAATTCTGTGCATCAAAATCTTCACAGTTGCTGTTTCAGTATATTTCTACTTAGAAGCTTTTGGAAGTTTTCTGTGTAAGATCAAGAACAAGTGTTTTTAGCATATCTGTGTCATTGCAACTGGAAAGAGGTTTCTATCCAGTTGTAGCAGCATCTGTTGTATCTCTGTCCTGCCATAGCCAAACCTCATTTCTCACAGACCTCTCAAAACTTATGGCCCAATAGTTTATAAATGTTTGACATGCAGAATGGGAGAGAGGGTGGATGAGAAGAAAAGAATGGGAGAAGCTGGGTGTGCTGTTTCTTAACAAAAGAAGATTGACGATAAGTCGGTTCAGCTTGTGACTTCTTGAGATATCCCTGTGGTTCAGGAGACACCCCTCACTGACTTCTCAGCGTAGCACAACGTAAACATTACAGTGAATGAGAGTGTCCTGTTCCTCTTCGTTTTTTTATGTTAGCCTTCAGAAAAGCGAGTCCGTAGAGCTTGACACATGATGTAAATATTTACTTTGTTTTACTGTTTCGATTGCATTAGTCCTCATGTGAGAATTTATTACTATCTATACAATTACTGATGGGGAAAATGTTCTGTACCATTGAACTCCTTACATTAAAATCTTTTAATTTACATTAGTTATATACACTGCCATTCAAAGTTTTGGGGTTGGTAAGAATTTTGTTTGTTTTTGGACGAAGTCTTGTGCTCACCAAGGCTGCATATTTGATCACAAATACAGTAAAAACAGTAATATTGTGAAATCCAAAGTTCTGTCATTAAACTCTAGATGGTGCAGTCCAATAGGTCAAACTCAATCTGACATAATGACATCATTATCACATGGTGCAGCTGATTTAAATTTTTTTTTTTGGTTCTTTTTGTATCAGCAGCCAATGAGCTTGCTGCTCAACATTCAAACACTTGGCTAGTGCTTGCTGTAGCAGTTGAAGTGCACTTCAGAAACCCTCCACCTTCCCCAGCTCCACCTGTATTGATCTGCTACGGGGTGATTTCATGGGTTATATTATGGGGTTATTTCATATATGTTATACAGTATGTGCAGCAGCAGTATTTCTTTCATGCTCACAGCAGCATGTTGTGGATGTATTGGAAATAGCAAGTCTCGGTCTCTGCAGCAGCAGCAGAGTAGCAGATCTATTCCGCCAAGACCAAACACATTAACATTGTCATGTACATTACCATGCCAATCCCTCAGAGAGGTGTCATGATAGAAATATTATTACAATTTCAAATAACTGTTTTCTATTTTAATATATTTTGAATTATAATTTGAATTCCTAAGCTGAATTTTCAGCAAAGATCACTCCAGTTTTCAGCGTCACATGATCATTCAGAAATTATTCTATTTGTTTGTTTACATGGAAACTGTGATGCATTTTAAGGATTCTTTGATAAGTAGAAAGAAAGAGCAGCATTTGTTTGAAACCATTTTTAGTCATTTTTTATCAATTTAATGCATCCTTGTTGATTAAAACTATTATTTCTTTAAAAAGAATACAGCACCCAAACTGAATGAATGGCTGTGTATGCATATGTAACGATTGTCTCATCTCCAAAAATTTGAGCTGAAACATAAGTGATTACTACAGTCCTCCCAGCAATACATTTTCTTTTTAGAAAAGAAAAAGTATAGAACCTTCTGTCTAGATTCTAATTAATGGTGCCTTTTTGTTTCCTAGCAACATTTTTCTTCTTCATTAGAGTTTATTCCAGTATTCATCAGTGTATATATAACCTTCTGCAAATACTTTCAAAAAGGCTGGAACAATGACCTGTTCTGGTATTCTCTATCCAAATGACAAAACTACTCCTTGTGTTACTGCTAAACTACTAAATTGCCTCTGCAGTCTCCGTTTTGAGACATTCTGTCTAGCAGATGTCTTGCCGTCCCGTCCCGTCCCTTGCTTCCCCAGCAGTTTTGTCTTTCTAAAGTACAGGCCTGTGGAAAACAAAGAGTACCAAAGTCTCAGGGTGCCTGACACCTCCACACACTACAAAGCTGCCCACTGGCCCTCACAGCCCGTGAAAAAAAAGCTGGCCTGTAGACTGACCGCCGGGGGAGATGAGTGTTACACAATCCCCCTTTCTCTCAAAGACTACACAGTGCAGAAAATGAAGTGGCGGGCCGCTCAATGCCACCATTCAGCTCTGCTCCCTCCATGTGGGTGAATACAGGAAGAACTAAGCCCTGCTTTGTCGCTGAGTCATGCCAAGAGAAGCATATGTGTTTCCATTAGCTGATCATGAGGGGGTTTTCAATCATTGGCCCACCAATCCAAAAAATGCCTCTCTCTTTTGCTAATGGCCCACTGTGAAAGGAAAATTGATCATCGTCAGATAGGGTTATAGCACTTTGAAACTCATGAACTGGAGTGTTGACTGACAGTTTAATTTTTCCTCGTTACAGTCTCGTCATATTTTCCTTGATTGCCTCATCCAGAAGGATTAACGTGATGAGCAAATGTCAATCAACCAATGCCAGGGATACAGTAGGGATCCCTGCTTGCACAGACAGCTTATTAGACCCTTTTTACAGGCTGATTTTCATATTATACAATGCATTCTTGCAGCATTATATCAGATATGGAGAATAAATGAAAAGCTTAGGGTCTTCAGTGTGTAATTTTAACTGATAGTCCTTAAGAATTTATGTTTTTGGAAAATAAAAGTTAAATCTTTGTCAACTTAATCTTCATTCAGTCTGCTGTGGATCCATCTTGATTTTTTTTATTTTAGCCTTTTTCCATCCACTCTTTTGCTCTCTAACTCTTTTGTCTTGTTATTTTCTAGTCATCGAGGAGAAAGGGGTGAAGATGAAGCTTACGGTAATTGACACCCCTGGATTTGGAGACCAAATCAACAATGAGAACTGGTGAGAGCAACATTATCAGATTAATGCATACTATTTAAAAATGCAGTAGAGTCTGAAAGTTTAAGAACACGTTTAAAATATGGTATTCAAAATCGAATTTAATCTTGAAAATAAACACAGTTTTAGAATTATGAATCATTTTAAAATAAAATTTCAAAACTAGGATACTGTACTATTTCTAGGTCACTATTCAAAACCTAAAAGTATATTTGTGGCTGACATTTGTGGCCTTTGTACAGAAGGTCAGATGTTCTGCTGAAGCACTAGATGCTCTTTGGGTCATTATAAAATCATGCTGGAGAACAGGATTATCAGGTTTTACACAGAACCAAATCCAAAAGACATCATGATATTCATGTTGATTCAACTGTTTTTTTAATTTGTTGATAATATCATTTTCACTAGATCAGGCTCAGGCTTTTGGACTCCACTGTAGCTGTTCAGATAGCTCTACAACTGTGTGAGATAAATTCTTTAGTAATTAGAGAGCATTTTGGCATAGGCTTTACACTAAAATCATGCTTCGACTTTGCCTGACTGCTACATTAACTTTAAGTATAAGCATATGTTGTTAATTGTGATGATAATCCTTCCCTGTGTCTTTTTTCTCAGCTGGGAGCCCATTGTAAAGTATGTCAATGAACAGTATGAAAAATACCTGAAGGAGGAGCTGCATGTCAACAGGAAGAGAAGAATCCCTGACACCCGCATTCATTGCTGTGTCTACTTCCTGCCAGCCACTGGACACTGGTGTGTGTCAACTTCCTGCACGTATCATGTGGTTCACACCTAGCCATATGTGTTAAAATGCTGTTGTGCGTCTGTCACTTTTAATATGACATGGCTTCATTGCACAATCTCAGTGGTCTTAGTTTGGAGATTTTAACCCACTAACCTACAGTAGTGAGAGTTTGTGAAAAATCATTCTTTTGGCAGCAAAACATATGCATCTTACTGAAAAAACTGAAAACAGTCTGACAGCTGTGAGGTAATTGCTGTATTTTGGATGCAGTGGACCTTAACATACAGCCATAATTTGTAAATCATTTAAACATTTTGATATTTAATGTTTGCAATGCATCTTATCTTGGAAAATATGCACTACTGTTCAAAAGTTTGGGTCGGTAATATTTTTGTCAAGTAATCATGTATTTGAAGAAGTCTCTTATGCTCACCAAGGTTGCATTTATTTGATCAAAAAATGCAGTAAAAACAGTAATATTGTTACAATTTAAAATAACTGTTTTATATGTTAATGTTTTAAAATGTCATTTATTCCTGTGATGGCAAAGCTGAATTTTCAGCATCATTACTCCAGTCTTCAGTGTCACATGATCCTTCAGAAATCATTCTAACATGCTGATTTGCTGCTCAAGACACATTTATTATTATCATCAATGTCAAAAAAAGTTGTGCTGCTTAATATTTTTGGACAAACCATGATACATTTTTTCATGATTATTTGATGGATATAAAGTTCAAAAGAAATTTTTAGTAACATTATAAATGTCTTTACAGTCACTTTTTGATCAATTTATCGTATCCTCGCTAAATAAAATTATTAAAAAAAATTACTGACCCCAGACTTTTGAATGGTGTATGTAACATTATTTTGTTACTTCAAAAGCTATTTCATCAGCTATTTTAACTTCACATGATCTAGATTTATCTATTTTCATTTATTCATTTAGAAGATGCTTTTATCATATAGCAAATTATCTATATGGTTTGTATTTAGAGAATACAGAAGTCAAAAAAGTGTTAAATGTGTAAACGGTGTAAAATGGCCCTTAGTAATGATCCATCCTGCTCTTCTCCAGGTTACGCCCTATAGATGTGGAGTTCATGAGGAGACTGGGGAAGATAGTGAGCATCGTCCCTGTGATCGCCAAAGCAGACACGCTCACTCTGGAGGAGCGGCTAGAGTTCAAACAGAGGGTGAGCGGTCCGTCATCAACACCTGCACCACCAGAACTTCACTCACATTTTATGATATGCAGGCACAATCGGATTCACCCCTCTTATGTTTCCCACCCACACGTAAATATTCAGCCCTTCGCATAATTGAGGTCATGAATATGGATGACCTGCTGCTGTAAATGCTGGAATTTTCAAAATTGACAGTTCAGCTGTGTGGATTAAAAAAAAAGTGAGATGGATTGAAAAACCTGGGCTGAATGGAGCGAGAGAGAATCATCGCATTCGAATTTGGCATGCGGCCGCTCGCTCTGGGTGGGAAAAATGAATAGGCCACGCTAAGGTTATGAGCAGTGTCTGCGACGTCTCCGTCGGGAGACGGTCTCTCCTCTGACTGATGTATAGCTACTACTTGGGCCCGGGCCACTTGCCATCAGTTCTCCCCACGGAGCGCTTTTGGACAGCTCCGACGGCATGGACCGCAGGGCCAGAACGGCCCCCGCACGCAGTGTGTCTCCTATCAATATACACCAAACAACACTCCTAATGATGTACTCTGTCATTTCAGCCCATTATCCAGAGCTGTCTCTCACTGCTCAATAACCCGAGCAGAGCGCCGTGCGGGGGCGGACGTCACACTGTGCTCAAAATATCAATCGCTGATATCATATCCATGTACAACAGCCGCACTCCAAAATCCTCCCCCACACGAACACATGGCAGCAAAGGCATTAATGTCTAATGCTTTGCACCTCGGGCCCGAAATTCTGGCTGTGAGGGAGGGGGGAAACAGAATTTCCTGGTGAACTTTACTGTGGCCTCTGAGTGCAAGAATGCATGAGGGTTGAGATTGAGACTAGTAAAATACAGCAGGAAGAGCTGGAGGGAGAGAAGCTGCTGTCATATTTCACCCCCGGGGCGAGTGTGTGGGTTTTGTGTATATGTGTGTGTGCGGTAGGTTGTAAAAATCAGTGTAAATCCATCTAACTGGAAGCTTCTCTCTGCAGATAAGACAGGACCTCCAGGCCAATGGGATCAGAGTGTATCCACAGAAAGAATATGATGAGGATGCTGAAGACCGGATACTCAACGATAAGATTAGGGTATGATGGCGCTACTTTAAGAATTTATTGCTGTGCTGTGTTTATCTAAATGGTTAGTTCACCCTAAAATGATCATTCCTGTTGAAGGGTTTAGAAATCATGACAGAGGTATCATTTTTGGGGTTGAAATTTTTTTTGAAAATGTCTTCAGTCAATCCAAGATGTAGATAAATTTGTCTCTTCATCTGAACAGATTTGGAGAAATTTAGCATTACATCAATTGCTCACCAATGGATCCTCTGCAGCAAATGGGTGCCGTCAGAATGAGAGTCCACACTGCTGATAAAAACATCACAATAATCCACAAAACTCCAGTCCATCAGTTAATGTCTAGTGAAGCGAAAAGCTGTTTGGAAGAAACAAAACCATCATTAAGCCTTGAAAAAGTCCATCCCCTGTTGCTCTGTCACATCAAAACATACATATTTGTTTAGAACTGTTTTTGTCTGTTTTTGCTTGTAAACAGAGCTTGATCTATGCATATTTTGCTCCTGATTCAGACAAGATGATGTTGTCACTGGAAAAAGAAATATTATTGATAGAGGACTCATGCCGGAAGCAGTGGTTTTAAGTTAAAATGTCTTGATGCATTTGTTTCTTACAAACGCACAGCTTATCACAAGATGTTAACTGATGAACTGGAGTCATGTGCGTTACTTGTGGATTATTGTGATGTTTTTATCAGCTGTTTGGACTCTCATTCTGACGGCACCCATTCACTGCAGAGGATCCATTTGTGAGCAAATATTGTAATGCTCAGTATCTCAAAATATGCATTGATGAAGAAACAAACTAATTCACATCTTGGATGGCATGAGTGTGTATACATTATTAGCAAATTTTAATTTTTATGTGAACAATTTCTTTAGTTGATTTAAGTGGATTCGTACTTTGTACTTAATGAAATTTTGAGGGTGTGGCGAATGTTTCTTTCAGGAAAACATCCCCTTTGCTGTGGTGGGAACAGATAAGGAACACCAGGTGAATGGGAACAAAGTCTTGGGAAGAAAAACAAAGTGGGGGATCATCGAAGGTGAGAGTCTGAAGACATCGTCTGCTATGAATTGCTGGTCACCAGTAATATTTTCTGTTTTGGATGCTGGTGTCTCCGCCAGGCTTCTTAACGAGTTTCACCAGAAAGATTGTTGATTGACCTACATGGAAACCCATGCTGGTCTTTTCAGCAGGGTAACTGTAACAATTGTCAAATCTAATTGTGTAATGATAGCCGACAGGCTTCACAAGGCAAGATTGTCGGTGATTTAGGTTATTCAACACTGCCATCAAGTGGTGTGTGTCGAAAGTACAGTGAAGCAAAATCCCTGGATGAATTCTTGAACATGCCTTTGTATTTTGTTTATTTCAGTTGAAAATGTTGCGCATTGCGAGTTTGCACACTTGAGAGATCTTCTTATCAGGTAAGTCATATTTTTTCACTTGCAAGTCTTCAAATATCATAACAGAATGACATTAGTACACCTGTACGGCATATGATCTTGCTATTTAGGTAAAATGGGAGCAGCCAATTATAACCCTTACATTATGGTTGACAGGATTAGATCATGTAGAACATCCCCCTCTCAAACTTCGTTTTTTAGAATATGGTCCAAACCGCAAGATCAGTGGCATCCCATACTAGTTTAAAATCAAATATTCAACTATAGGTGGACAACCAGAGGTAAAGAAGGCTGACTTCCTCAAGAGTACAAAACTGATGGTATTGCCCAACATGTCCATTTCTGGCTCAACTAATGTTTTTAGACATTCTCATCTCATCCCATAAAAAAATAATAATAAATAAACAAAAAATACCAAAGGAATGCTAACTGAATTTATATCATAATCATATAATGACTTCAAATCATAATTTAGAACCAATCCTACCTGGGGGGGAAAAAACTAAAATCTTCTATTAAGAGCATACTGGAAAAACTTGTTTTATTGTCTTTCTTTTATTTTGTTTTATGTTTTTTTTTCATTGCATTCTAAAATATCCCTTTTTAATCATTTTATTGTATCCTGTACAATTTTAGCAGATTTTTACATAGTTTTTATTTGATTATTTTTATGGTTGGTTCCAAGTTATGGAAGAAATTCCATTAGCATTCCTTTAGATTTTTTTAAACAACGGATTGGTCAGAGTTTCATCCAGTTATAACTAACGGTTCCACTATTAAGTGGCCTCAACTTCTGTACTTACATAAAAATAAGTACAATGTACTTGTGTTCATATTGTATTGCAAAACACTTTTGCTGCTATTGAGGTGAAATCCGGGTAAGGTTAGGGGCAGGTTTGGTGGTATTGGGTAGGTTTAAGGGTGGTTTAAGGTGTGAGGGATGGGTCAAGAGTGTAATTATAAATGAAATCACAGAAATTAATTACAGATGCAATTACATGCAGGCATTTTTTTAAATATAAGTACAATGTAAAACATGTATGTACACAATAAGTGCATTGTACCAAATGATTAATTTAAATCTAGGTACATAGTTATAATTTGGGACCAAACTAACTGTTCTGGTCACATGCTATCACTTTTACAAACCTTTGCTTTTTAGATTTAACCAGCTGAAATGGTTATCAGCTTTCTAAAGTGGATCTATGAGTAGTGGGGCCGAACGGCCCAGGAAAGGGACAGCTGAGAAAGGCAAGAGTGCATCCTTTCCTGTGAGCTCAGTAAAGGACAGGTTAATTACAGAGTCCGATCGGGTGAGGCCAGGTCACAAAGCCCTCTCGCCACAACTCTTGGATGGCGGCCCGTTGACAGATGGTATGGAAGTGATTCCCTGCTGAAATGGGAAACAAAGGATGACCGTTATAAGTCTCCACACTTTTGAATCGCCTTTCACACTTTTTGACCGGCCTCCTGCTGAAGCCGAGATCAAATTACACCAGGAAAACACCAACCGAATCACACAAAGGGATCATAAAAAGCTGATGTAGTCAGAAAACAATTCAATTCCACATAAGAGAATGCCTTTTATTTTACACTGTGCATATTTCCCTTAGGGGATGTTATTGTGGGATCAAAATTGATATTATGCTCTACTGCGCTCTACTTTCAAGGTCCCACCTGCAAGATTTGAAGGACGTCACTCACAACATCCACTATGAGGCCTATAGGGTGAAAAGACTTAACGAGAGCAATGCCAATGGACTGGCGCTTTCACCTTTGACCCTGGAGAACGGTACCCTAGAGAAGAGCGATGCAGAGAGTCACCTTTGAAAGGAAATGGAGCGTGTACCCGTCCTTCACCCCCAGTCAGAATGGGAGAGATGAACATTTCACTTCTAGATTGCCATTGATGGAAAATCGACACGTTTGACTAAAGACATTTCTGCTTAGGCGTGTAAACATCATATATGAGTCTATTTTTGAAACAAATCTATATTGTTGGTAGGGTTCTGGGATGAATTATGGGTAGAATTGAACCAGGTTTTGGCTAAGAGAAAGTTTCCCTCTATTTTTTTTTTCTCTCTCTTGATGTTTTTGATCCGTTTTCTGCCGAATGAAAGGCACAGAGGGTTGGCATGTTGGAAAATGTGTGTGTGTGTGTTCCTGCACGCCTGACACCTCACTGGATGAGAAAATCCCATAATCCCTATCTGTGTTACTGCACCTATATATTTACACCGAACCAGTAATGTGACATGCTCCTTTTGATCTTTTATTTTCGTAATTATTTTAGGTTTTTTTACCGCAAAATATGATCTTTCCCTGTACTTTTGTAAAAGAAGAGGTAAAAAAAAAAACTTTAGACAAATATTTTTGTTACCCTACCTGCTTCGAAGCTGAAGGTATTTTCTTAACAGATCCTTAAAGAGTCTCTTACTGCTATCCATAAATGACTGCTGTGATGATAGCCAGTGTGTTGATATAACGGGACATTTTTCAAATATAACCTTTGACCTTAAAGGTCTGGTGTGAAATGTAATACTATTGATCATTTCTAATGCAGAGATGGATAAAGGAACAAGAGAAAGTCGATTCTTACTGATGTTTGCCGTACAGTAACAGGTCAAGCTTACGGTTGTATGTAGGGATGTTTTTCTTTCACTAACCTAGTTAACTTACTGTTTAAAGGTACACATTGTGCTGTTTACTTCTCTCCACTGGACGTCAGGAGTCCATCTTTCCCTGTTGCTTATCAAAGCTATTGTACATATCCATAATGTGTTCTAATTTTCTATCACAGCATCACATTTTTTTACTCGACATGTATTAGCGGCATCATCATCATTTCCTTGTTACTAATATTACTATACATGTAAACACCATTGATTTATGATTAAAAAATTGCCACCGTTCAATTTTTATGTGGAGCCACTGATCAGTGTTATTAGTTTCATTGGAGATTGCTGTAATATTATACACTACCATTCTAAATTTTGGGGTCAGGAACATTTTCTTTTTTTTGATGAATGATAAGAAGTGTCTTAGTCTCACCAAGGATGCATTAATTCGTACAAAATGCAGTCAAAAACTAATTAAAATTTCAAATACCCGTTTTGCTTTAATATATATATATATATATATATTTAAAAAAAAAACTGTAATGGCAATGCTGAATTTTCAAAAGCCATTACACCAGTCTTTAGTGTCGTCATATCCTTCAGAAATATTTCCAATATGCTGATTTGGTACTTATGAAACATTTTTATATTATTATCATTATTATTTTATTAGTTTTATTACTAGTTGGAATGGTTGTGCTGCTTGATGAAGTCCGGAAGTGTTTTTTTTTTTTTAACTCTTTAATCTAAAAAGGTCAAGAAAAATAAATCTGTTGACATTATAAATGTATTTACTGTCACATTGGGTCAATTTAATGAATCCTTGCTGAATAAAATTAATTTCTTAAAAAACAAAAACTTACCGACTCCAAACTTCTGAACAGTAGTGTATGTTCATGTGATAGTTGTATGTACAATGACTTGGAATGGAATCTCTTTATTATTATAGAATGGCCTAAACTCTTTACTGAAGACCGACAGTTAGACAGGTGTCTTTCTGCATTTAAAACCTTAATCATACCTCAACAGTCGCTTCACCTTTGATCCGTTTTCTTCTTGTCCTTGTTTGTGTTTTTATCATTTGTGAAAACTACCGAGTGCCAAGTGAAGACGTTTTCTTTGCGATTTGCTTCAGGAGTGTTAACATCAGGCTAAATTAGCCAAAATAGCTTACTTAAGACTCTTATATAACACATGCTTATAAAGCAGAGCCCCAACTGCCTGATTGAAACATCTTTTATCAAGCTCTGTGGGATAGGTTTTTGTTGGCCTGCAAAGCACAACTAAGCTTTTCTTCGTTTTCAGAGCCTTATTCATTAACAAAAATTGGTCTCTGGGTGTTAAAACACTAATACAAACGGTGTGTCTCAAAATAGGCAAGGTAGATGTGTTTGTGTGTGTGCGTGCACATTCAGGAAGCAACATTCAAACATACAGTAACAGCTAACAACATGTCTTAAAGGAATAGTTCACCCAAAAATGAAAAATCGGTAATTTATTCACCTTATCATGTTGTTCCACAGAAGCAAGCTGTACAGTTCAATCATTAAATACATTTTGGGGTGAACTACGCCTTTAACAATTGAATGTCAGAGAAAATTAATGACGCAAATATGGTGCTTATTTTGTACAACTTTTACTAAAACGGTGCAGACTAGAACCAACCAACTGAAAACAACAACGCTTGTCTGACAAGGCACTGCAGCCATGAGATGGAGTTCATAAAACTTTGTCTTTTTTCTCTTTCATTTTAAATTAACCACTACAACAGTATTTACAGAAAGAAATGTACCCTAAAGAACTGAGAACTGTGACATGCCCATGTCACACCAGAGAAATAAAATACCAAAGAAATGAGAGAAACATTTTAGATAATCAGTGTGAGGCAGATATTTAACATTGCTCATTAGGCTCTTGAACCACAGTCACCCAAACCAAGTGTTTGCACCAGAATAAAAGTCGTTGTTACGGACCCCGTATGAATGTCAAAAGCATTACTAATATTGGTTTAGTATTACATGTACAAGTACATAAAAAGAGCCAACAAAAGAGCTGTTTTCTGTTGTTGAATCATGTCGTTCTCAAATTTGATAAAAGAAACAATTCTGACATGTTAGTTGGGAAGAGTTAGAGGAACAGATGATTTATTCTATTCGCTTAACAATTAGAAGCGCCAGACATTTAGAGTTAAAAGCAAGCTGGAGGGTGAACAGAAACTGCCAACACACTCTGGATGTGGTAAGCTAGTAAAACCTTCAGAACGCAAGATCAGAGGAGCACTATTCATGGAAACTGGCCTTGAAAATGGTTTAAATTTACAGTGTAAATCAGACAGAACCACTCCATATCTGCCAGCCAGATTTGTCTGGTAAGAAAGCGAAATTCACACAGTAGTACCAGTATTTCATTGATTCCCTGCCTCGATCGTATGAGGAAGGCAGCAGGCGTAACGTCAATGTAGACACACAATAAACATCTGCTAATGTTCTTACATTTAGTCCGTATTAACATGTCTTTGATATTAGCTCAATGTACAAAGTGAAACAAGCTTAAAGGCACAATATGTAAGATTTTTTTTATTAAAATATCCAAAAACCACTAGAACAGTGTTATATATTTTGCTGACTTGTGTACTTACATTATCCAAAATGTTTCGAAGAATGTTTAAATCCAGAGAAATAAGCAATTTTAACTAGTGACACGGAGCGTGTTCATAGTGTCATTGTGTCGCCTGCCAATGACGTCATAACCCCTCAATTTCCGACATGATGCTGTTTTGTTCATAATTGTTTATGCAATTTACGAAATTATATTTGATTTATATGAGTTAATTTAGACGTAATGCACGTTTTGTATAGACAGTTATTTCCCTGCGTTGACATTATGTGCTGCATTATTTTGCTCATTGTCGAGCTCGTTCAGCGGCCTCGTTTCGCTTCGACGGCTTTCAGCCTCACCCTGCTTCATTCTACTACGTTAATAAATCATTAGCTCATCCTTGAACATGATTTCTGCCCAAGTCCCGTCGGATTGCATCGGCTGTGGGGATGAAGAGTCAAGACGACAACTCCCATGATTCCACACTCAGTCACGGCGTCATCAAACTACGCCTTTGCCTCTTTGTTTATTTTGAATACGCGCCCTCCAGCGGCGAAAATTACATATTGTGCCTTTAAGTCTTTTATACTATCCATTGCTGATGTTACTCATCGCTAAAAGACATGAACCTTTTTGCATATCTTGCCTCTTTCTTAACCAGGTTTCTCCATTGGCTCGTTTCGTTGAAAGCGGTATGGACGTGTGCGCTTAGAGCCAGGCAGCCTCAAAAACAGTTGAAACCTTCTGACAGATGACCTCCACATATTGAGATATTTACAGATTACAGTGGGGTTAGTGCATGAGTTATTATATTTATATTGAGGGTTCTATTAGGTGAAAAAGTTCCCACACACATAAACTCTCATTCTATACAAAAAGGGGAAAAGGCTCGGTTTGGAAGTGAAAACGATAGTATTTATACAAGATTAATACAATATCTCTGACAGTTTCATACAGTTGTCCTCAAATACTATGCAATGCCCTAGCGATATATTAATAATCTCTCTTTAGTTCATTCATCTCAAATGGTTGTTTCTATTATGGAGACATACGAAATGAAAAGCACTTTGATGGGATTTCCTTCAGATCTTTGCTAGTGAATAAAACCTGCCGCATTCTTTGTAAGACTATCAAATGAGTGTAAATACTGCAATAAGTTATCAGGATACCTCATAGGAGCGCAGGCATATGAACTGGTGCAGAATATTTACCATCCAATCCTGGACACAATGCCGATTCACTATTAGGCTACTAGACTTTATGACAGCGTCTCTCAACTTACATCCATTTTACAACCAAAAACAAAAGAGTTGAACTAGATTAGTCATTAAAGGGCTAGAAAAGGTAGGTCAACTCACTGTCAGCCAGGCCTCTGTCAACAAGTTATTGCCCTTCCATTCTTCTGTCAGCTGTGTGTCAACAGTCTGCCCGCCAAAAAAAGCACATGCCTCAGAGACTGCGGTTATTCTAACCGTCGAAACCATGGTTTAAAAAAAGGGGCAATTCATCTGAATAAAGCTCAACTCCAATTTCCATAGTAGGCCCCATCAAAAAAAAAAAAAAAGTTCTACTTCTAAACAAACCTCGTACAATCCTCGGAAATGTAATAAATAAATAAATATGTTTGTCATGTCAATAAATTAACCCACTAGCAATAATAAGTAAAAGCAAATAAATACGTAACAACTTCAATGATTCAAAAGATAAAGTCACACAAGGTAGTGAGATTAAAAGTCTCAGGGGATCTCGCCTTTAGATGTGACCCCCCATTAAACAGGTCACCAAGAAGAGAGATCGACTGTCTGAGGTGAATGCTAATGTTTATGCTAATGTGTATTTTAGTAGATATAATCTGTTATCTTTAAAGCCTAGTGAATTTAGAGTGGGATAGTGTAGTGTCCACTTAAAGACCGTGATGTTGGAATTACACTGACATAGTTTCCTTCTGTTTGTTCTACACTTTTTGGAGTAGGATTAGCTTAATGTTTGAATCTAAGAGGTTTATAATAGCTGGAGAAAGCTAGCAGTCAATTAGAATTGTCATTAATCTCAACTGTACACACAATCAAGGTTCCTTACTGGCAAAATGGTTGTTAAAAGAACTGTTCACTGCAAGATTCTTTGGAAAACTGAATATGGTTCTTCAATGCCATCACGCTAGCAACCTTTGTTTTTAAAAGATAGTTATTAAGTCAAAATAGGTTGCTAATTTTGGATGGCCATCAATGTAGTCAATCAATACTTTTTGCATCCAGATGATGTAGTTCAGGCATGTACCAGCAGGGGCGCTGTAGTGGGACAGCATGCCTAAAATCTCAAAGTCGACTAGTACATTTCTGTACACTTTCCTGAAGAAAAACGTACCAAATTGCATGCACTACTACCATATCTGTCCACAGATGATTAGAATATTCAGAGGTAAACATATTTCACTAGTTAGGATTTAGGGGTTGCTTTAAAATAAATTATTCGCCAATCTAAGACTCCAAAATTGTTCACCACGCCATATTTTCTGCCACTTTGCATGTGTTAAGTTTGAGACTGGGTGAAGTAGGTGAACATTAAGGTCATCAACACCACAGCAAACCCATCTGAGATGATCTGAGCAGCACTTTAATCTCCTGAGAGGACAAATGCAGGGTTCGGTATGGGGTATGGAGTGGGTTGGAAAACAACAAATGGCTGGTTTCTGCAAATTCCCCTGCGGACCTGTATTCTACATACCCCATGATAAAATGAGGTAGGCACCACAGATGAGCACAATTGTGAGGGCGAAGAACCCGGCACCTCTGAAAATAAAAAGAGGCCCTGCTAATCTAAAAGCAGACATGTGGGTATTGCTTAATGGGAAAGCAAAACTGCTAGATGAAGAGAGACTACTGTAATAAGCTTGTGTGGGATGCTTGTGATCACTTTAATTACACTGGCCTGCCTCTGCATTTGATGCAAATCACTGTAAACCATATTCATCAGATGTATTTAAAAGCACTCGGGCTGAAAGAGAAACTATGGTAGAACTGCCAAGTTGTCCGCTGCTGTAATGGTTTGGCCTGGTGACAAGTAAGCAATGACGTGCAGTTTCAGTCTATGAAAGGATGTCACGTGGCCCAGCTGCATTATGGGATCACTCAGAGATCTCATCTTCATTTGAATCAGGATTAATATGGAAACCTGCACAAAAGCCACTAATATCAATTGACATCAAAATGGAATTCAAATAAAACAGGCAGATGAAAAAGTCAAGCTATCTTTTGTACAAACCACAGTCCCTTTGAACTATATTAAAATGTATGAGCAGTCCCCAACTCAAAATATCTGAATCTGAATCTGAAAAGAGCAATCTGCTGGGAAAAATAACCTCCTGACTTCTGATTATGCTGGTTCCTTTCAAAGGACAGTACCTCTTAATACTGTACCTTCACCGTACCTGAATTTCCATCTTATTCAAAGTGTCCAAAACCGCGAACTCATACCATAAGTTTCACAGTAATCCTTCTCATCAAAAATAATACTTAAAAAAAAAAGACAAAAAGAGAACTGCATGACAAAAAGCAAGTAGCGTTGATGTGAAAATCTACGTAGTTGTTCATCTCTAAAGTTCTCGATTTTTCCCTTGATAAGACACAGAGATGGAGCGGCAGCACCACTGAGGGGAGCGAGAAACCTGGATGGCGCTGGACAAAAGCGAAGAGACCCTGTCGCAGTGGCTCCTTAACCCCGTTCTTTCCCTTAAATGTTTCGGTTCCTCTCTACCTTTCCCTGGATATGAGAGACAGCTCAAGCAGGCAGCGCACACCTTTGTCACTTCAAGATAAACAGTTTTGGATGAGACATGGAAGCTAGTCTCACAGTTCAGTGGAGGAACATGTTTTATGTATGTGTGGGAGCTGATTCCTATGTGTCATGTTATTTAATGAAAGATCTAGCCTCTGACCCACTGCGCTTTGTACATTTTCCCTCTCGCTCGTCAGTCCAGGCCCGTTCCGACCTTTTCTTTCCGATTTCCTTTTTTGTCTTCCATGGCAATGATCCCTTTTCACCCCTCCAGAAAAAAACTTCCACTCAATTTCTCTCGTTGATTCTTCCTGTGGGTCCAGGATGAAGTTGGGTTTATCATCAGTCTGTAGGAGGAGGTTTTGGTGATGTGGTGGGTGCTGGTGCCCATGAAACTCTTTGCTCTACTCGATGACCATGCAGCGCGGCAGATGCTGGGAGTAGTATTTGAAGAGTTCGGCTGTGGCGCCCGGGCAGTTGGTCAGTTCCAGCTCCTCTAGGTCCTGCAGTTGGATCAGGCCTGATAGTGGGAGTAGTATTTGAAGAGTTCGGCTGTGGCGCCCGGGCAGTTGGTCAGTTCCAGCTCCTCTAGGTCCTGCAGTTGGATCAGGCCTGATAGGCCAGTAGTGGTCAGCAGAGGGCACCCTGAGACAGAGTAAATGAGAGCTGGTCAACTACAAACGATAGCAGCCACCTCCACTCAACAGCTCACTTCCTGTTTATAATGCTGTGTGACAACAATGAGAGGAAGTGTTTTCAACCACAGAAATGTAAAGTTTGTAGTTTAAAAGTGAAGCTCATTATGTTATATGACATTGACTATAATTATTTAAAAGGAACGTGCTTGGTCTGGATGAAGGGGTACTTGAGCCCTTTGTATGAAGCCATGTGGGGGGAAAAAAACGCTAGAATAGAAAATCCTTATGCACAGCTACTGTTAGAACAGGCAGATATTTCTAATCTGCAAATGTAATTTTGAATTAGACTTTATCACACCGTGTTTATGTGTTCATTAATGTGTTCATTTATCAGCATTATCTGTTTTTGAGGGATTAACTGAGCTTTCTTCCATAACATGATTAAAGGAACACTCCACTATTTTTGAAAATATGCTCATTTTCCACTATTCATAGAAACAATCTACTTCCAAACATACAGTGTCATTCCATTATAGAACTTTATCAGGGCTTTATCATTGCATTCTGCAGTATCAGCACTTCCAGAGTGTTTTTACCTGCTAGAGAGAGAAGACGGAGACTCCTCATTCCATATAGATGCTGTAACCCAAAGTCTTGCACCTAAAAGTACAAGGAAATGTTTCGGTGATGTGACATGCCAGAAATGATCTAATATATACATTTTAACCTAATTGTGATTAATAAAAAAGTTAATGGATAACGTATATGTAAACTACCCATAACTTTATTTTCATAATAACACTTACCTGACAGCACCAGCGCAGGTAGAGACTTCTCAGAGTTGACATGGTCGATAAGTAACCCAGGCCTGTATCTGTGATCCGCACACATCTGAATACAGCCATATAAAATGAGAGTCATAAGCACACAATATGAATATAGTAATCATTCTTTCCATGTACCAAATTTACTCCCAATGAGGCTCTGTAAGAGGAAATATCAGCAAGATTTACTTTACACTCCATACTGCAAACTCAGCACACTCACCGGTCCAGAACCAGCTCCTCCAGCTTGTGTAGGTCACAGGCGATATACTCAAGGGCCATGTCAGTAATACGGGGGCACCAGGACAGATCCAGACTCCGGAGCTTCCTCAGATTCTCTGCAACCAATTCCACGCCATCGTCGGTGATCTTCGAGCAGCCTGACAGGCTGAGGGAGGTGAGGTTTGGCAGGCTGTGCACCATGTTAACTACGCCATGGTTGGTGATCTCCCAGCAGGAGTTCAGGCGCAGCGTGTGGGTGGTGTAGCCTTGCTTGGCGGTGAAGTAGGCCATGGCCGTGTCGGTCACGTGATAGGCCTGCAGGCTGAGCTCTGATAGGTTGGGAAGGAGCTGAGAAATGGCGGCGATGGCGTCGTCTGCCACGTTGATGCAGTCGCTGACGCTGAGAGAGGTAAGCCGCGCATTCAGGCTGGACCACAGGCCGGCTTCTGTGAAATCATTGCAGCCGGAGAGTTCAAGGTGCATCAGACCCTGCATCTGTTCCAGCATCACCTGAAGAGTTCAGGAGAAGCAATGCTATGTCAAGCATACACACAAAATGTGCTACTAGTGCAGTGCAAGTTGTCCAAAGCTTAAAGGGGTCATATGATGCGATTTCAAGTTTTCCTTTCTCTTTGGAGTGTTACAAGCTGTTCGTGAATAGATAAGATCCCTAAAGTTGCAAAGACTAGGATGGATTGACCATTATTACCGCTATAAACACATTTAATGTCTGTTTCAGTCATACTGGACGCCAGAGGGCGCCCTCGCGCAGAAACTCCACATGTGCATCACAGAAGG